ATGCCCTTAGAAGTTCTTGAAAGAAAAAAATCGAGCGCAGTTTAGTATGTCATTTAGGTAAACATCTATTTCCGAAAACCCCAAACCAGTGATATCCGGTCCAATTCATATACTTCTTCGATTCAGTATATGAGTGGAACGTAAATACAACATCCTTTTTGAAAATAATCGCTGTCAGATCGAAATTCGTGTCGACACCAGAACATGTACTTTCTGAATGCCAAGATATCTTGTGCATTTGATATGGTTTATTAGTGAACTTTCAATCTGAGCAAAAATATACTTGTTTTTAGCTTTAAGTTCTGAAATTTCGTCAGTTTTCGGTATGAAATAAACCTCATCCGAAATAAACCTCATCTGTGAACACTGTGAGAAAACGAAAAAGTTATAACTACTCAATAATCTATTTTCATCCTTGGGTATTTATTTCTTATGCGGTAAATTTCTGTTTTCTTTTATTGACGTACTCTTTTACCGACGTATGAAGCAGGATATTTGTTATGGGACAGACTTCATTCCTGCGCGATCAAATCACCGGCAAATTGTTCTAATTGAGCTTACCGCAGGCGCTTTTGATCTCAAAAATGCAAACAGAATCTTTCTGACCTTTTCTCCCTAAAGGAGAAGAAAAAAAAAGTCACCCTATTTGAAATACCGCGTAAAAACTTAAGTAGTCTTTTATATCCTTGTCGGGAATAGAATGTTAGATTTTGGTGATTGCAATTTTCGCAAATCCTCCAGACAACACTCCATTTTCAAAATCCCTTAAAATTTATATTACATTTCTCACTGTTTTTCTAATTGTCATCTAGAGTCTTTTTTCATTAAGGAGGATTACTACAAAATGAGAAACTGATAATTCTTATTGATTGCTTTGCCAATACTGACAATATGATTTGTTTCCATGGTACCTGATGTTCCAAAAACTTAAAAGTGATATAGGCCCCTCTTTTGGAATTCACAAATGTTCCTGTCTTGTCATCAGATCAGAGCTGGTCTTTCTTTTTTTTATTGTTTAGTTGTAATTAAAAGAAGGCCTTGGACTATTCCAAAAGAGAATTAAGTTTCTTCATCATTTAAATGAGTTTGTCAAATCAAATTCATTTTTGAGAAGTGCCTCTTAACGCTTAAGGCTTTCCTTCGCAAAGTAGTCCGCTGTCAGGTATGGAAATAAGACAATAATCCTTTTACTTCTCAATGAAAAAAGTCGAGTAAGTCTTATGTTCAGAGGCCCTCAAATTTTAACTCACCTTTCGCCTGCTGAACTTATTTCATTACATCTGCTTCTGATGTCAATATCATTTTAGCTAAACGATTATTTTTTTCGTCTATGTGTATTCAAGGATAGTTTCCATTATGGAAGAAAAACACAAACGAAAGCGCGCGCTCTTGCTTTTAATACCCCACTGTGTCAAATACCCACTTTTTCTTCGATTTTGTTCATAGAGAAGAATAGCTCCTTCTTGATTCAGACAGGGAGTTGATTTCAGGACAAGCAACTACACAAAAAAAGAATGTTTTTGGAGTCATTAAAAACAAATACTGTGTTTCGTAAGCTCATGGTCCCACTGACTGGTGTCCGTCAAAACAAAGTATTCAATATCGCAGTGGTAAGTGAAGGCTCATTGGAACATGTTCAGCGCTTTTTATCTTTGATTTCTGGGAAAGGAAACAAGTTTGTTGTTCAGATCTTATCAACGGTGATATATCTTTTAATGAAGGAAGTTTGCAGATTCCTCTTAACAACTTTCTTTTTGCGTTTTAAAATGCAATTTTAGAACTCACTCATGTGTGCTTCACATTGCGACTTCAAGTCTTAGGAGAGTATAACTCTCGTGAAAATTAAGTGAAAAAGGAAACAAGATGAAAAATCGTCACACCTAGCGTCAAAATATCAGTTACGAGATTTTATACCGTAAGTTGGTTTATCATCGTGGTAGTATAGTGCATTGCGATAACGCTGATCAAGATACACATGTGATAATGCTGTACTAGGAAAAGAGGAAAAAGAAAAAGGTGAAATATCGAGTTTATTTCCTGGCAGTAGCAGTGCCGTGTTCTTTATTTATCTTTAGGATGTACTTTGTTATGACTGATAAAAAAAGTAGGTAACAGATTTAAAAAAAACGTATTTATTGAATGCCCTGTTGAAATTTACCTTAGTTGTAATGCACATTTTCTCTCATGTTCGTGTGAACTTATTCTGAAACGAGGTGCAAAACCGTAATGTTATGTATTGTGCAATATTTTCTAAATTCTAACACCTATTTTTACATTCAGTAATAGCCGGATCTTTTTCCAATTATTCTGCCTATCAGGAAAAGTTCTCCAAGTTTGCACAACATCCTACGCCACCAACCATCAAATGTTGTCATAATAGACATGACAAACGTTGCCATAACAGACATGAGGCATTTGAATTCGTATCGTCAATTGTATTTAAACTGAGATACGAAAAATATTGGTTTTTCTTTTAGAACTATAACCTTTGATATTGCTTCAGAACATTGTTCCTAACAATACTTTTTCCACTTCGCCAGGCTTTAGTTGCTAAAAATGAATTTTGGTACCATGATTTGATTTCGACTGTTTCTCTTACAGGCACTAAGCTGCGAGCTTCCACGCACGATACAGTAAGGACATCTTTACCAAGACCAGGTAGAAGAGCCTCAAAACTTTTCTCACGCAAAACATTTTGATTATTTCCAGGAAGTAATGATAACTCTTAAGGAAGAGAGACTTAAAAAACGGACTTTTCAACCTAAGTATAAAACTGAAATCAGTCATCGGAGTTTGATTCAGAAGCATAAAGCATATTGTCTTTATGTTTTTGAAGCTTATAATTAAGTACTGTGAAAAGGTACTGGTGTAAAGATATGCAGTGTTATTTTTACGTTGTGGCTTAGTTGCTTCACTAGTATGTATTTAAAGTGGGACGTTCGTAGATCTTGTCCGAGAGTATTTTTGCAATGTAGTTCACTCTTAAACTTGTTAAATGAAACTTATCCTAAAATCTCTATGTTAAAATGTCTATTACAGTAGTTCACTTTTTTTTAACATCCATGAACATAATTGGCTCAGGACGCTTTTGCAGTCGTTCTGAAAATTTGGTATGCTCAACATGCATTAGAAATTTCTGCAGCGTGTCCTTGTGATATTTGAACTGACTGCCGAGTGAAGAATACGTACTTATTGACAAAATGGGAGGGCCGAACGGGAAAGTATTAGGCTCGTTTTTCTATGACGAACGGACTAGACGCAGCTTGGTTCTTGTGTCATGAACACGAGCCAAATATTTTCTCATTCGACCCGACTCAACTCATTCAATAAGCGTTTTATCATGTGACCCCTGCAAGTTCTTATTCCTCTTTTATTTCCTTGAGTCGCATCTTGTAGGGCCGTACGGCTTTTTCCAGAACTGCTCACGTCATTGCGTATTGCCCGATAAAATACTGGGATTTATTTCTGAAGTTTTTCAATGAAAAAATGCGCTCATTCTCGTACATGTACCTGTCACAAAAAAAATGCCCTTAGAAATCATTAGAAGTTAAAAAAAAGTCATCTGCCATTCAATTCATTAATAAGTGTACATCTATTTCTGAAATCCTACCCCAGTAATATCAAGTATCGAAATTCGTACATATATTTAAAATGAACGACACTTTGATTATTAAGAAATCTTGTGTATTTGATATGCAGTGGTGATCGTTTAATTTAACAAAAAAAAAAACTTTCTCTCAGCTTGAAATCTTTTCAAAAGTCAACTTTCTCATGTTGTATTTTGTCTTCTATAATTGACAGATATTTGTCGGCTATCGGGTTGAAAAACCCATCAAACACTATTTGAAAAGAATGAGTAATTTCTACACAAAAATTTCTTTTGCGATAATTTTTTTCGATTGACGTCAAAAGGAAGTAGGCAAGATGATAAGGGTCAGATTTCCTTCGTGCACCATCAAACCGAAGGCATATTTTTCTAACTGAGCTTACTGCATTTGATCTAAGTCCCTTTTGTCTTGCCGAAAATAGAATATTAGATTTTAGCAAGTGTTATCAAGGCAAATCCCTTAGATTACAAGTTATTTATTTCAAAATCCTTAAAAAAGATTCATACTTCATTCCATATCGTCTTCATTTCAAATACAATTGTCATTTAGCGTCTATTTTCGTTGAAGAGGATCTCGGAAAATAAAAAAAGTGATAATGCCCTCATGAGCTGAGGATTGTTGAGCTAATATTGGCGATGTTATTTGTTTCTATAGTAACGGGTGTTCGAAGAGCTTGAAAGAAATATAGGCTTCACTTCTGAAGTAGATAAATGTGCTTGTACTGCTTTTAATACAGAAGTGGTTTTTGTTTCAATTTGTTCCGCTGTGAGATCAAGAAGGGCTTCAACTACGTACACCAAAACTGAATACAGTTTCTTCTACATGTCTTAAATTTGTTAATTCAAGCTCACTTTCAATAAAATTATCAAAACACAGAAGCTTCCGTTGCGAAGTCGTCCGCAGTTGCGTATTCATCAAGAACATCATTTTCTTTTTGAGAGTTTTTGTAAAGGCCTCCGAACATTTCAGTAAAGGGTTCCATCTATGAATTTTCCAAGCGAGAGATAATCCTTGAAGATGAGCAGCTCTCAAAGAAATAGCAGAAACGAAACCTGAAAAAATTCTGGCTTTCACGGCAGTCGAACGCTTTTGTTCCAGGTACGAGTTGGGTGACACTACTAATTATTGATCTACAGTGAACCATGCGGAGAAAAAGCAAATTATTTGTGGATTATTCGAGGGATGGCCTCAAATTTACTTTCGAATCGTGGATTTGACTTGAAATGTGTGTCGCCTTATGAAAGGCCTAAAATTTAACTCTTTAACAATAAATCAAACGTAGCTCGTTCTGTGAATGACAGAGATAAATTTTCACATCTAGAGAAAGTGTGGATACTTATTAACTTTCTTACGACTACAACTTGAAATGCGTTAATCGTTTGTCAGTGTACTATGATTTGCGATGTTGGAATTCATGCCGTAAGGCATCGAAATAATGATTAAGAACATATTGTGTTTTTTTTCATATGTATATCCCGAAGATCATCATTGATGTGCACGATTGATGAATGCCTGGTTGATTGCTTCAAATGTTTGGAGGCGCGACTCAACTTGTTTAGATTGTGAATTTAAAAACACAAGTATTGTAATGACATCGGGCTCAAAATCAAGGAGGGGCTCTGCGAAGTTTCAAGCATTTTCTCTTCTCGTTTACTTGAAACGAAGTATACTTTAGGACTCGATATAATTTTATTATGTGCAATTAGAAACAAGGAGCACCATGTTTCTCCAGAAAATAGCACCAAGCGATTGAGTAAACGAATAAGCTTAGAATTAGGGTGAAAATATGAGCAGTTTTAGATTGTAAAACCATATTTAGTAAATTTTTTGTGGTTGCTTATTTGGAAATTGTAATTTGTAAAGAAAATAGGTTTTATAAAGTAATGATTTGTCGACAGAAGACCAATATGAACAAAGCACGCAATTAGGATTTCTTTGTTCCTACTGTCAACAGTAATCAGTTTTCATGGCAGGTTCTGGATCCTATGCTGCTTCGTGTATTCAATATAGCTGCATGGCCACTGGAAGA